TGTGGAGGTTGCTGCTAATGGCTCTTCACATTATGTCTTAGGCTTCTTACACTATTGCCACACCTTCACATCAGAATTTGCAAGTCATGCCACGCTTTCTCGCCCTCTTCCTTGATACTTATACAGTTCTACTCATATTGGATCATGCAACTTCTTACCTACTATGTCTTATCACAGGATTGCTCATTAATTACACTTAATCAGCACAAGGATATCTATTCAAGCATGGAGGCCAACATTTTTGTTACAGACTGAGTATCTTGCAGACATTTTGATATAGGCAGAACCTTTGGCTACAGGTTTAGTCACTGATGTGCATAGACCGCCAGGACAGGTGCTGTATGCTTCTGTAAAATTATTGTTGTCATTATTATTATTTTAAATGAAAGTTACATTTTGGCTTGTGCATATGATATCGCATCATTTCAGAAAGCCTTGCGAATTTCAGATAGATTTTTAAGTTGTATAACATTGATATTTTTGTCATGTTTCAATTGTGACAATTTTGAACAAGGGTTTTACCGTTTTAGTGATGGTCATATGAGCTCAAGGAACGAGACGCGCAAATTCCACACTTCAGGGTTAGGGAAAATATGGTCGAATATTGATAAGCTAAATTCAGTCTATAATATTAGTCAATTCAAGTAATATAATGATAAAAATAAAATATCATTTTATGAAAATTATAAATTAATTAAGTACAAAAAATAATTAATTTTAATTTTATTTGAATAATTGAAATTAAATGATTTGAATAAAATAATTAACTAAAACAATTAAAAAAATTTTAAAACATCCAATTTTACCATAATAAAAAATTTTAATTAATATACTTTCAAGTGTTATTAAATATATAACATAATTTTAAGTGTTTAACTTTACAATGATACGGTCCAATGTTATTAAATAAATAGTTATATATAATATTATAAAAATTTATTATATAAAAAATTAATTATATAATAACATATTAATTATATATTATAATTTATTATTTTATTATAAATATATCATTTATCACTATAAGAATACTCTTTCTGACACGTGGAGGTGACCGAGTCTAATTCCTATTTCTCGAATTTTAGCATCATGTATTTATTTATTTATTTTTGAACAAATACTTACTGCTGTAAAGAGCATCAAGGAATTATCCACGAAAAAGAAGTACTTACAAGTGGTGAAACATTTCCTGCCTTGAGAGTTGAGAGAGACACAAGATGCCTCCAAAAATTGTGGCTGTAAATTGTATTGGTCCTGTTGTCGGGATACTGGGACCCGACTCTGATGCCCTCTCCACAAACAACCAGTCATTTCCTGCCATGTCAAAAAAAAGAAAAAGGACAAGCCAAAAGCAGGGGATGGAGACTGTAAAACAGAACAGAAGTTCTCTCATCTCTTCCAGATCCCCTGCCATTAATTAACCATCTCAATGTTCCTTCAAATTGACATTTTATCTCCAAAGCTTCTCTTCATATACTCAGATGATCTATTGGTATTCTAGTGAAGCATATTTCACCCAGGTATAAAAATACCTCTTCTCTTTATAAATCCAGAGGGCAGTCTTGATATGCTGGAAGGTGAAGGTATGTGTTCCGAATCTTAACTATAATTCCTGTGTACAAAATCATTTTACTTTCATTCAGAACAGCTAAAAGTATTGCTCTGAGTCTGAGACACTTTGTACTAAGAAAATAGTGTTCCATATACTAGAAGAATAGCACCTATATCTGCCTAAACCAAGCAACTCCCCAAAATGGTGTCAATTTTGAGTGATAATGCTAATTCTGTGTTTGCATGGGAAAATGGATCTACAAACAAAGTGTTCTGTATCCTAAGTAGAACAGCACCTATGTCAAACAATTTATTTTGCTCCACATCTGTGTAATCCATGGAACCATTAACAGAATAAAGAAATAGATGGAGAGGTGCATAATGGAACCGCACATGAAAGGGAAGAATAAACACATGCTTTATTAAGAACACACTTGCGGAAGTCTTTTAACAAACAACAAAGTGCAGCATAGGTAGTTTATTGGAGGAGGATAAGGAGACCCTGTTAGAGTGTCGGGGGTTACTTCTCTGCAGGACTAGTCGTGGTAGACTAGTAATAAATAGAAGTAGGAGGAGTACCGATATGGTTAATACAATACAGTTCCATACTTAAATAACAAATTCAGTCTTTGGTCATAACTAACTCTTTACCACTATAGATGTATATACCATTCTGCAGAGTGGCATCTGAATGCTCGCCTCCTGTCTGATTTAAAGAATTCCATATGAATGCAAGAACAGGTAGGGGTCAGCAATGTGTGTCCCTGTCATTGTTACCAGGCACCTGTCGCACAAACTGTCCGCGTACACGTGGTCTCTGTTCAGCCAGTTTCTTCCTACTGTAATATCGAACCTGAAAAACCTGGTGTTAGAAATATAATCCACTAAAATTTCTGTTCCAAAGTAACTAGATAAAAGAAAATAACTGTGAAGGCAATATGTTAATGTGTAGAGTTTCATACTCATAGATAGAGCACTACAAATCTGCAGGGGAAACGGTTAAGATTAAGTTTTTTGCATAAATGAAAGGTCTAATGAGACAACATATCCAATGGAAGCTAGTACTTGATAATTCTCTTTGTTGGGTAAGATTACCTTCTTCATGAAGCATCTTTCTTTTCTTTTCTGGCGGAATTTGTTCAGAGCAGCTTCTCTTTGTGTGAAACGGTTTTGATCAACTCCAGTCCCGCTCCTAAATCCAATTCCACCACCAGCTCCACCTTTCTCAGATATTCCATTTTCAATTTCAGCATTTATCATTCTAGTGTTTATAGTGGGACCACCTCCATTCTGTCCATTGCTCCCATGGTCGCTTCCAGAGGCACTTCCATTCAAACTGTAAAAATTGCCTTCCAGATGGGGTTCACCCGATAGATTGGACGATCCACATTGGGGAGCTGCTGTTGCTGCCATATTTTGCAAAGAGATATCATCATGGTTACCAGGTTGCTGATGCTTGGGAGTTTTGTGGACATGATGGTGGTGATGATGATAATGGTGATGGTGGTGCTGCACTTGTACCTGCTGATTCACACCCCTTGCTTGAACCAAATTCATGTTAGGTTTTGCAGTATCACCCTCACCTTGAATTATAGGCTGAGGGGCAGAGATGTGGCCATTCTGCATTGGTTGGAAAGCAGAAGAGGGATGAAAAGGTTTGATTGAAGATTTAGGTGTTGGCTTATCACTGAACACCATTGGTTTAGTGAAGGCATTATTCGTGGTTGAACCCACGTCATTATTGTTACTACTCCCATTGGAACCCTGATTTGGGGGCATGCTATTAGAATTAGATTGAAAATTCTTCATTGAATCTGTTTTGGCTGCCTCTGAACTATTATCAAGTGGAGAACAGCTACCTACGTTCGCAGTGGGAGCCTGATTAGCGTTTGAACCAGAATTATACCTGCAAAAACATTGATTCTATGGTTAAAGTTGGAATTTCCATCAGAAAATGTGAATATAAAATTCCTAATACCTAGAGAAGGCTGAAAGGTCTGTATGTCTCAAAACATTCCGTTCATTGACATGGGTCCCAGTATCTCCAACATCTCTCAACCTCTTTAAACTCAGCTCAAGGGAAGGAATTTCTTTAGCATCATAGATGACTTTATCTCTTGCGTCAGAGACCTTGGAGAGACCACTTGGGATGTCAAAAACTGCACTTTCTATCTGAGGTTCAGCATTACTGGCGATGGAACCTATGAGATCAGCAGCTTGGTTGCTCAATTCACCACTTGCTTTCTCACTGTTGAGCTTCAATTCTCCTTTGTCTAGTTTTTCATCATCCGTCTCAGGGTTTTTGGCAGATAATTTATCTTTTGCAGCACCTGCTATATTGGTCATTATATTTTCACTTGGAACTTCGAGCTGCAAATTTGTACATCTAGGTGCACCAATCTCCAAGTCCTTGCCCATCAGATCATTGTCTGATAAATGAAATGCAATATAATTTAACCAAAGATAATAAGAACCATATGAATGGAGATAATAAGAACCATATGAATGGCTACATCAAATTAGTCAATTATGAACAGAGCTTCATATACCAAATTCATCAACCCTTCCTTCATGGTCCCTTGTTGCAGTCACTGCCCAGTTGTTATTGAATGCTTTGGGCCTCGAATGGATAACCTGGGCACAGGTGCTATCAGCAAGTTCAGCTAACTGATCACATGGTGATGCTGGGCAGGGACTGTCAACTACTACCACTCTCTTTGTCCAGGAGCTCTACAAAAGAAGAATTTGATGGACCAAGGAATGCGATATCAGCAATATCAGGTAATTCTAAGGCTTCCATATGCCCTCTGATATACCAGTTAATCACCATTCTTTCACAGTCAGTCTTAATTACTTCCATGTATTGCATGTTATTTCACTCAATTTTGACTAGCCATGGCATAGGAAAAAGCACACATACATACATATACAAGACCAATCAAATATTTGAAAGCTTATAAGCAAAAGCACTAAAGTTCCTCCATGTTCAATAGCCAATACCTGAGTGCCACTTCCATTATCACTTCCATTGCGAACATTCAAACCAACACTTCCCACGTCATCCTCATCATTGCTGCCATTATTGTTGCCTGACTCTTCAGCACTTTTTGATTTGGTGGACTTTTGAGTTTGGATGCCACTTTCGCTTCCACTACCACTAGACTGATGAAAAGATGAATAGTGAGTGCAAACGAAGGGACCAAACCTTACACTTTTTGTTACCTAGATCACAGAACTTGCAAATGAATGTTGAAACAAACAATCAAACATTTTATTCAAAATTCCAAAATATGATATTTGAACCTTGGCAAAAGAAAACATCTGGTTTAGGTCATTAGTTGACAAATAAATGCACATACAAGACAGACCTGTCCAAAATTGGTCCATGATACAGTTTAATGCATAAAGGGGGATAACTATAACAACTCACGCTGTGGCATTTCCTCCAAACATGTTGCCAAAGGTTTTTAAGCTCATTCTTTCGGATAGGCTTCACTAAAAAGTCAACTGCACCCTTGGACAAACACTTAAAGACTATACTCATTGAATCATGAGATGACATCACTGCACAAAAACTCACCAAGTTGTAGCAATTAAAAGTATCAATTTGTAAAGATAATAGATCTGAAATTTTGTTGCTTTTTAAATTGAATAAGGTATGAAAGAAATATACTCACTAATCACTGGAATAGTCTTGCAAGTTTTGTGGTTCATTATCTTGCCTAAAAGGCCAATGCCTGACAAACAAGGCATGACCACCTCAGTTAAAATCAGATCGATATGATTAGTTAGGTCTTCCAGTATCTTCCAAGCTTGTAGACCATTTGATACAGCAGTCACTGCCAAGATTAAACAAAAAAGGTGTATAGATAAAAGAAAAAACCTAGCAGAAAAGTCATCATGTATATATTGGACATACAGACTTTCACAATATATTTAACCTTTGAAATTTCTTGTTGTCTTATGATCAACAGGTGGATAATAATCTACCACTTAAGATCCTTTCAATTTAATTCTTTCAATCTGAACAGTGGCTGAAGAAGATTATTGCAGGTGAAAGTGTCCATTTCAAACTAAAATTAAATGCTAATGACAGTTAATGAAGAGTGGTGATTGAAACATGAAAAGTTTCATAAATATCATATTTGAGGCCCCATGAAGAAGCTAAGATTGACGTAAGAAGGCTGCTAAATCCTCATAAAATTGGCTTTCAGTCCAAATTTTTTATTGATTGTCCATCCATTAATGTATCATAATAAAGTGCAAGATGGTTATCACAACACTCATTTGAGCGAATCTTCTGCAGTGCACTCTGAGATCCTATTCCCAAATAAAAAGGATTCATATTTCTGAAAAGAGGGAGAACAATGGCCATGGCATGGTTAAAATATAACATCTCCTTTGAGGACCTTATGCCAATTGAAAGAATTTTTTTGGATCAAGTAGGGGTGGCCCTGGTCCTTGGAAATCTTTTCGCAGCTTATTATAGGTATTTATTTTCAAGAGTTTTACATTTGTGACCAGTCTTTTAAGGGTCTAGAAAGAGAAAGGGGGGTGGGGGGGGAGTACAGTCATCTTCTTGCTCACCATACAAGCCTCATGTTGTCACCATAACTTCAAGCCAAAAAGAGGTACAAGCTACAAAGTTAAACCATAGAATTACAAATGTCTCCACCTTATAAAGAGAAACACGTTTTATCACCCATTTCAGACATGAGGCCCAATTTGCTATATTCAATGATCAAGTACAACTTGAACAGAAAGCCAGAGTTTGTGAGGAATAGAATAATATCCACCTTACCATGTACTAATCTGGCATGATAGTTGAGAAAACAAAGATTTAAGAGACATCTGCATAAGAGGCATAATTGTTCCACGACCAACTTAAAAATAAAATATCAGAAATAGAAAAGATATTTCTATTACCAACTGAAGATGACACTGTGTTTTGCTCAAACAAAAAGATAAAAATTGTTGGAAACTATTTTACTCCATAAAGAGAGCCTATGCATCATACTTTAAACTGTACAGTTATAAGACGTTATATAGACCTGTCTCTTGCTGGCTTATACTAATATTTCAATTTTCCAATGGTATATAACTAAGCTTCAAGTTTGAGAATACAAAAGTTGATAACTTCATAAAATGAATATTAGCTTATCCTCATAGCCACAGTTCATAAAAGAAAATTAACTTACCCTCATAGCCACATTTTCGAAGTAACGCACAGACAACATGGCAAGTTGAGTCATCATTTTCCACCAGTAGAACCTTCAAAGATCTTAGAGGTAGAAACCTCTCCCAGCAAACCAGAGGTCTATGAGGCTGCTGTTGTGGTCTATGCTGGATAGCCTGCCCATTGGCCTGGACTTGAACTTCTTTGGTCTTTCCATCGTTTACATCTTCCAGATCATCATTAAGCCTTGACTCATCCTCCTCTGAAAGGGCATGTTGCTTGCCTATGACCCCATCCCTAATTTGCTTACTCTTATCTTGAACATGATTATCTAATAAAACCAGTCCATTGGTCACAGGACCAGTATCATTCATCTGAAGTGTCCCCATCAACCAGATTCAAAAAGACCAACAATGAGGATTGCAACAGATAAAGTTGGTGAGAAAACCTCCTTTAGGCAACAAGAGTCGTCTTCAAGATGTGAACATCTACAAACACAACTTTTCAGAAGACATTAAAGAAGAAAATGGAACTAGTTAGCTTTGTAAGTCAATCACAGTGCAGTTTACACCCAACAGATTTTATGACAGATTAATACTTAATCACGCTAAAAGTAAGCATGCACCTTCATAAAAATAAAAAATAAATAAATAAGGGAAAAAAATCGACACAAGAAGAACAGTAATAAATTGAATCAGTAGATTTGAAGAAAAAGATATTAAAAACTTGGACACTAATACATACACGCTGCAAACGTTACACATTCTGTCATAGACTGACAATTTCTGTTAATGTATAGTTAAAATTGATGGAAATAATTAGTTTTAACAACATAAATAATAAAAATCATTAATTTTAATGATACAAATAACGAAAATCATCAATTTTAATAGCCACTAAACGAAAACTGTTAATATATAACAGATTGCGTAACTTTTGAATTTTTATCTAATGAAATTCAAGAAAAATATATGTTAATATTATAGAATATGATTCTAATTCTTCGAATTGGGGAAAACATCATACAAAAATTAGTGAAACATCTGGAAATAGTAAAAATTAGAAGCACAAATGTTTGGAAAACAGAAAAAACTCCAGTACTGCTGTAAATTCGTATAAATTCAAGCTGAAGTGCTATTTGATTTGATTTCCTTCACTTTCTCGAAGGCCAAATGGAAACAAACACGAGCTCAATACTGACTTCCAAAATTTGGAAGATACAGATGAAATTCAACCAAAAAAATGAAAGAAAAAGGAAAGGAAAAACTTAAACTCATTCCAAGTTCTCACACAGTGCAAAATGAAACAACATTTCTAAGGAGAGAGAGAGAAAAAAAAAAAAAAAAGAACCAAATCAGAAATATTTTCTCAGCAACCAGACAGAGCGAGAAGCTGAAGAAACAAAGCAAAGAAAAACTAAGCTTTACCATCTTAAACTTCCAATAGGTCGAAGCAATCACCAAGAATATGAAATTCGTCGTGTTCAGAGCTGTGGAAATGAAGCGAAATTGTGAAATTACTGGAAGGAATGCTAGGGTTTGTTTAAAAAGATTTACAGAGAACCAGTCAATGCTAGGGTTTGTTTAAAAAGATTTAAAGAAAAACTGCTTGACTGGTTGAGAAACGGCGAGGGGTTAAAGGAGAAGGAAAGGAAAAGATACATCGAATAAAAGATATTATGCAAGGCCAGTGTGGTGATCACGTGGACAAAGGGGAGGCGCGGAGGTTTGACACGTCATTTGCCACTAAGGATTGAGACGTGCTTAGGTGGGGGCAGATCTAAAGCCCGACTGTGAACAGTTGGATGGGTATCCACGGGCGATCCGCTAGATCCTGTAAGGGACACGTGGCGTACTCTGGGATGAGTTAAAGATGCTTCGGACGGTGTCGTTTTGGGGATCGTAAGGTGTGTCCTTATTGGTGGGCCTTTACCAACTAGGAACGAGACAGTTAAGTGGTAATTGTGTAAGGACAATTGTGCCCTCGATGAAATTTTGTTTTTTCGAATTGCCCCCAAGGAGTGCGCCATGTCAGCAAGAAAATATCTTCGTTGATTCTCGGTTCAGTTCGGGTCAAATTGGGTTGAGTTGGATTCCCTTAAGTTTTTTTTTTTTTTTTTAATTGTAAAAAATATAGTTAGTATATTAATTTCTGTTTGAAATTTCGAGTATTGATTGAACAATCAACCTAATGTTTTTATACCGCATTTTATCTTATTTTTTACATGAAGAAACGTGATCATTTGGACCACATAAAAAAGTGTGGATGCACGTAAGTTTTAAATATGTTTAGTATTGTAATATGATTAATAAAAATATTTTTTTTCATCTCTCTCAAATTAAATATACAAGAATCTCGATTATTTTTTATTGCCTTATTTTATTAGTACAAAAACCAAAATAGACCCAAATGCATTTCTCTAATTAATTATATTAAATGTATTAGTATAATAAATTAATGTAAAAATACACTTTTAAAATCACCTAAAAAAAAGATCTTTTCATATACTAAAGTTGAATGAGAGACATTCAAGCACTTGAATGTAAGTTAAAAAATAATAATGATTTGAGAAACGAGAGAGCTACTATTATCAAGTTCATTATCAAATTCAAATATGTCAAAAAAGAAAGAAAGAAAAAAATCAAAACATACTTATCTCATAGAAATGGAAAGTTTAGATATGGTTTTGGTCTTGTAGAGTACCATGCTTTTTTTTTGGTCCCTCATTGAGAGGAAGCTTGGAAAGTCCTAGAACCATGCACTTGGAACCGTCCATAAGGGAAAAGTTACTAGCTTTTGTGATGGACTTTGGTTGCTTAGTTAATGTAAGGTTAGAAAGGAAATAATTTATTACCAATATAAACAACAATGTTAAATGACCATTGACAAGCTAATAGTAGTTTAACTCAACAAACAAGTTAAGAAAATAAAAATCAGGGTTTATAAAGTAAAGAAAACTCAATCCATACTTTAATGTTGGTTTGATTGGTTTTCTATTAATTTGGGTTAATAAGTTTCGATCAAACACGAACACCATTCCTATTTATAAGATAAATAAGGTTCAAATGGTGCTAATATTTTTTTATGAGAATTTTGGACTTGAAATCAAAGTTACATTATATGTAAATTTTACATTTGAAGTTGAATTTTATATATAATTTTTTTTAAGTGTTAGTAAAAAAACTTAAACTTTAAATTTGATTACAATATGACATTTATGTACTCAAGATACAAATCACTTTTTTATAACTTAATATTCAAACTTAAAACTTACATTTTATAATTTAAAATATCAAATATGAGATATCAAATTTTTATTTGTTGAAATATTCTCTTAATTAGAGATATTGTGTTAGAATTATTATTATTATTATGAAAATAGGCAATGTAGTAGCTTCTATTCTTTATTATTATGGTTTTATCTTTACTTTTTCTTTTTCTTTTTTCTTTTTTTGAGGAACATGTAATTTGGTTTTATCTTTACCTTTGAATGGTAATATGTGTAGGAGATTGACCCAAGTTTATTCTTGTGTCCCATAAAAACGTAAGAATGCGACATGTGAGGCTGTGACTTTGCCTCTCTTTTTAAGTCTTTATTTCTTTTTCCCTCTTTAATACATCTTTGCATCTTATACCTTGTTTGTGGCCTGTAGTTCTGAGTTTTACCCTCCTTTGTCGGAGAGCTACGGGATTCTTCTTATCCTTTTTCCTCTTTGGAATCTCATCGTAGCTGGTGATTCATCTTTATCCAATTGTCCTTTGTCTTTGCTGGTCAAATGCGTTGAAATTCACGACCACACCCAACCTTTTCCAAACTTTTTCCTTGATACTGTTACTATAGTACGGTAATATATTATTTTTCTCGAACAAATAAGGGTAGACATGCAAATGCAAGATTGAATTAAACCTTT